ATGCATTATCAAATGCTTCTTCAATATCAATGAACGCTGCTAGGGAAATTACTTTTGATTCAAAAGATTTTTCTAGATTTGTAAGTAAGTAGCTGAGAGCCATGAGAAAGACGAAGGAGAGCAACACTAGTTCGTTAATGTACAATCTCAGCGGTTTGGGTCTCCTGTTTATTTATTAGGGTGTTCAAAAGTTCAAAGTCTCACCAAAAATGTATAGCTCAGTTAGACGAATTCAGTACCCAACAGCGACTGCTGACATTAAGAAGCTACTGAAGGTCTATTGCTGCTTCTACTGTCGCCGGTGGGTCGGTAGGTCGAATCCTTCCTGATTGCCCGAGTAGCATGATGATAATGTAGAGGCACATCTTCAACTTGCCGGTTGAGTTCTTATGATACAAGATTCGGTGAACGTCTACCAGAACTTTTTTCTCATGGGTGGACAAATTCTGGCATCAGTCACCCTTCTCCTTCCCGTGGAGGTGCAGAACTTCGAGGTTGGCAACGGTCAGCGTATACTGGCTAACAGTTCCAGCAGTGGCCGACGATTTAGTGCTTGCCGATCTTCTCAATCGTTTGGCATCGTTGAACCAAGAGGAATGAATGTTCTTCAAAAAAAGACTCACATGCGTGTTATTTGATGCTCGTTTTACTTATAAACAGGACAGGCACAGTGATTACCCTTGTAAGAACGTGACAAGGTAAACAAACAATCTCAAAAGTCATAACTGCAAGGTTGCCAAACTCATGTGGTATTGAGACCGACAACTTGATTGCCACACTTCGGCACATTCGGCACAACGCTGGTCGCTGGGCTCAGCTTTCGGCATGTACATTTTTCCTGTTGATAACAAAACGAAGTGTACAGCAAAATGAAAACAAAATTTGTTATTAAATTTCTCAATCGCGTAAACTGAAATCAAATTATGTTCAGTTCAGTTTGATGTTGATATCAAAATTTGATTTCGATTTGCTGTAATTTTGATGCTGGACTTTGCTTGGGTAAGCTATTCGAATTAAATCAAAACGCTTCCTAAGGACCTGAACCATTTAGCGGATTTTTTTTAACTATTGTTTAAAATTTGACGGATGGAAAGTTATCGATTAATCCTGCTATCCGAGCGTGGTTATTTCTGACCGACAAGAAGTTAGATTGTGACAACCGTGGCTGAGTTCTGCACGAATATCGGTCGATTGATAACACAGGGATATTCGACCATGGAAAATAATTTTCGAAATGTCACTTTTATCAACGAATTGAATCTAACTCGGCAGCCTAAGTCGATATATAAGATGCAGATGAGACAACATCGCTGGAATTGATCAAACAATTAGAGGATTTTTAAATGAAATCCTAAAGCTTTGAACTCTGAGTTATTGCCCATAACAAACGATTTTACTAAATTTCATGCTAATCAGAGAAGGTCGAGTTTTCAGATTCGTCATTTGCTCAATGTAAATTTTCTTAATTGTTTGGATATCTTTGCAAATTTGTCAAAGATTTGCTTAGGATCATTCCAAAAAGTCTTCAGTGTTATTTTTACTTCCAGGATTTACCCCAACAATCTATAAATTATGTCCGGTATTCTCCAGAAATTTTCACCATAACAGGAATTCTGTGTAAAACTCTTTAGGAATTGCTTTCAGAAGACTTCTTGAAATTTACTCTTAATTTATTTTCGCATTCTTAAAAATACTGGTCGCGAGAATTTGTTTAATTTCGCTTCATAATTTTCTTGGAATATTCCTCGATAAATAAATAAATCTTTTCTGCCAAAATTTCTTTGGATTTCACCTCAGAATTTTTCTCAAAATGCCCTTAAGTGTATCTATTAGAATGAGTGTTTCCATTTCCCGACCATTTCTGACTACCCCGCAATCAGGAAATAGACAATGCACACTTAATCTAGCTCGGTAAAATCTCCAACAGCCGATTACCTCGGCATTTGCTTTTGCTGATATCTCTGCAAAATATCTGTTTGTTAGCTGATATCTCAGCAAAATGTTATTTGTTAGCTGAGTCTCGGCAAATGTTTTACTGAATCTCAGCAAAATAAATTGCAGAACTGCTCGGCTGTTGGAATCTCGGCGAAAAATTTTAAGTGTGTGGCTCTTCCAATGGAATGGAATTCCCGGGAAACGGGAAATAATTTTCATCAGAATTTTCTCCTTAATTACTTTCGATGAATGACCCAGGATGCAATCAATAGCTTTCTTCAGACTTCATCCGAAAATTTCTTATAAATTCCACTGGAAGTGGCTTTTTCTGGAAACTTCTCCCAATTTTTCTCTGATTTTTGTTTCGTTTTACCCTGAAAGTTCTTCTGGTTTTCACTGCAATTGGCTGAAACCTCTCCCGAAAGTTTCTTCTGACTTCCGCGCGAAAATTCTTCCGACTTCTTCCGAAAGTTCCCTGTGGCTTTGTCAATTTTTCTCGGAATTTTCATTCAATTCCCCTGATTTTTTTCACCATATTGCTGGAAGTTCTGTTTGACTTTGCCTGAAAAATGCTTCCGTCTTCACTTTGAAATTTCATCCAACTTCCTTCGGATTATCAACGAAAGTTTCTTCTAGGCATCCCTCCAAAGTCCAGATCTGGTTTCCAGATTCTTACGAATTATTCTCAAAATGTTTTCTCATAATTTCCAGAGTTTCTGCCAACTACCATCTAAAGTATCTTTCTAGCTATCGCATTAGTCCCTTTCAACTCCCATTAGTACAGACTTCCCCCAGAAGGTTCTTCCGGCAACTAATGGAAATTAATTCCCCTGGAATTGTCTACTGAGGTTTCCTAGTAGTATAATTTTAGTAATAATGCATATCTATCATATGCCTTTTGTAAACAAATAACTATTTCCCGGTATTCTTAACCAAATTCCTAGCCAGATTCCAAACCAAAGGCAAATTTCTCGGGATGTCCTGGGCAGGAGACACTGCTTCGAACTATCATGGAATTCTCTTGAAATTCTCTTTAGTATTCCCTTGGAAATGTAGTTAGATTTTCTTGGAGCACAACTCACAGTTTCATTGGAAATACGTTCAAAATTTCTTACCAAACCTTCCCTGAAACTCCTTGAAATTCCCTCAAAATTTGTGGAGGTGCGACACATCTAAATCTCAATTTCAGATGGTCGGAAAACCATACGCTAGCGCATTAATCTACGAAAAATCGTTTTTCATCTCTTACATCTAAATCCATCTACTCGCATCGCTCTCCATCTTTTTGCAGAAAACCTTCAAAATCTTCATCGATATTCTTTCTATCTACGAAGCATGCACAACAGCAAAGCAATTTTTTTCCTGCATCTTAGATAGAGTCGGCCCCTTCGCAAAATTCTTATAAATTCGTTTGAAACTATCTTCAAACTAACATGACATTATGCAAAGAATTTTTCGAGCTATTTTAAGATTTAGATTTCCATGGAATTAGCACAGACAAACAGACATAACTCTTACATGTTTGTCATCGATCACGCATTTAACGGTCAATTTAAATTTGTCTTAGTTGGTAGTAGCGTCGACTGTGGCGCGCGTTTGACATTTTTACACTGCCGCCATCTGAAAAATGTTCAATGTCTTATTTCTGTTCGTCTGTGGAGTTAGTAGCCATATTTCCTTGCAGCTCTCGTCAAAATTTGTCTTTGATTAATTGATTGATCAACACTTAAGAGATTTCCAGCCCTAGGTAATCTTTGGGTGTAGTTTCATGTGGCCAAGGTTGCCGTAGGGTTAATTTACTTTGAAGGAAAGATGCTGCGAATTCCCCTAGAATGCTTCCAGAAATTCCTTTCGATTTGCTTCTACAGCTCTCTGAAATTATAATCATAATTCCTATAATATTGAAATTGCTACGATATCCAAAATGGCCGAAATTGAGCATAAATGTGAATCATTTCCAATAACAATCAATTACGCAAAGTTTCAAACAAATCCGAACTAGATCTAGGATGTCTCTTTGGTTGGCTTTATTGTAACCGCCCGGTGTCTTTAGAGGCCTCTCTATTGTGAAGAGTATTAATTACATGATATTATTTTAAAAACTACTTCTACCTTACGATACACTGTAAAGTGTTGGCCTCGATTTGTATAAAAATAGGGGTAGGAGGGGCATAACGAGCATCCTATACTCTAGCTTTAAAATTCTAATTGTTCCAAACAAATTAATTGGTAGTAGGTACAATATCATATTGATATTGAACCTAGTACCAATTCTATTGTTCTGAACAATTAGAAATTTAAGGCTAAAGTACAAGTTGCTCATTATGCCCCTTCTACCATTTAATTACCTGTTAATCAATTCTAGATAGAGCTGGAATTAGGGCGTAACAGCCTTTGTAAACAATGACTTCTCTCGATGTTTTCTAGGAATTCAAGGCACGCCCACGTAAACCAACAGAACGTCTTCCCCTACCCGATGGGGATGTTGATTTGCGTAGATGAGTCTTGACTGTCTAGAAATCATCAAGAGAAGTCATTGTTTACAAAAGCAGTTAGGCCCTAATTACAGCTCTATCTAGAATTGAGCGGTGATCCAAATGTCAAGAAGAACGAAATTTTCCACACGTTGCCACTCGATTGTGAGCGGTAGAATGGAGTGTTAACGCTAGCTTTAAGTTCCGTTCCCTAACTGTAACTGCTGTATATTTAGTTAAATAATGTTTATGTTAAGGTCCCAATTTAATGCGTGCGTTTTTGTTGCGGCAAAATTGTTTTGGAACATATTTATTTTTAATTCTGGACTGATGAAACCCAGTTCAAATATTTCGACATCACTTTTCAATCGATTACGACACTTGAGTGAGATTAGTAAACTCCCCCGCCGCATCGCAACCGCACGCATTGCATTCCAGTATAAAGAAGAGCATTCCCCATTCTGTATGTACCATCTTTCTCTATCTTTCTCCTGCCCTTTTAACCCTATCGCTGAAACTTTCCGCGTTTGCTTTTTCCGTCTCTCCGTCACATCCAACACCACCCCCCTTTCCCCACTCATTTCCAAATAGGTGTTCTTCGACTTGATGCGCGAGATACGCTCGCGGAAAACGGAAGACTCGAAAGCACCGAACGGTCGCGCCAAAGACAAATCGAAACGAAGGAAACTCAAATGTACGCTGATATAGGAGGTGGAAGCAGCTGGTGAACCCCGCGCAGTGTGCTGAGAGCGACGAAGAAGCAGAACAAAGCGGAATGCAAAAAAACACACTCACACAAAGGCGTGCGCTCAGCACTTGGCATAAGCACACAACACACGCATACACCTACACAGATACACTCACGTGCAGAACAAAACAGTGAAACATCCGGTAGATAATCTCCACGTTTTTATTAAATATTATTATTTAAGTTTAAGTCGTATCATTACCGAGAGGGAAAGAGAAAGAAAGGAACGGAGAAGGATGACTAGTTAAGCCGAAATGATCAATTTAGAATGAGGAAAATCACTCTCTTAACATTAAGGAGGTTATCAAACAAGCAAATGCTAATTATTTGTTACAAATAATGCAAGGTCTATAAAATATGCTAAGGCGAGAGAAGACGAACAAATAAACTAGGAAGAAATGCATATTAACTAAGCTAAACGAATTGGTGTACATTTTATTTTGCTTTTGCTCTTGTTTTGGTTATTTTCGTTTTCCATAATCCCCATTATTTCTCTATTGGTTTGCCACGCTAAACATATGTTGATTGCGAACTTAATGCTTGTATTTATATCGCTAAACAATAAGCACCGAGCTGGTATTGCACCTCCCAACCCCCTCCCACACCCCCCCCCTTCTCTCCGCTGCGTCAATTCTGTGCTGTGTTGTTGCGAGTGTGTGAATACCGTACCGTACACGTGTTGATGTTATCGTTGTTGGTGTCCGCCATGTTTGCACCTGGGAGCTCGTGTCCGCCATATTGGGTTTAATTTCCATCACCTCCATCATACCATTGTTTACATTCACCTTTTCCTTATTTTCTTTACAATTATTGCAAATTTAAACCACAAAACCAAAACGAAACAAACCCCCGTCAGACTTTCTACGACCTGATTCGGGACATTTCCAATCGCAAGAAGAAGAGCCAGGAGACGGTACAGCAACCGAAGCGGGAGAAGCGCCACTGCTGCCAGTTGCTATAGAAACATCAACACACACACACACACAGCAAAAATAATTGGCGACGAACGCGTGGCTTGTTGCAGGCTTAGGATAAAAATCTTATGCATATTCTCCGCATATGCAGATATTTCGCTGGAACCGCACGTGCATCATCATCGTAATTAGTTTTTAGTTTATCCCGTCATCGTCGTCGTTGTTGTCATCTTTGTGTAAGCAATAAATCGAAAAACAGAATGGACATTGACAGTTCAAGCGTTCTATTTACTTTGCGTTTTTAAGTTATGGATCTATTTCAAATCGTTGTACAAAATTATACTGCGAGAGCAAATACCTACATTTAAAGCGAGAAAGAGAGGCAAGGAGCAAGAATCGCTTTGCATGCTTAAGTTTTCGATTTTAAAATGCTCTTTAAAAGCTTAAGGAAAAAAAAAATCCGAATGCAAATCATAACCTCACTTCTTGTGCCCGAGGAAGTGTGGGACGGAGGAAAATCAAGAACAAATTAAACAAAATTCGTTGTCGAAGTAATTATATACACAACAGGTATCACATCATCATCCGTATGTTTAAGAGTAAACAAATAATAAAACAAAACAAAACCATCTAAACCCTACCCGGGAAGCAACAGTCAGAGATATTATGTCAGGTTTAAGCGAGCTAATTACATTTAAAGAGAAATGTGCAAGGTTTTTTTTGCTATGGAAAAGCTGGAAAGAAACAATCTCTCACAAAAATCAATAAAGACAACAATGAATTTGACATTTGAGCTTGAAGGGGTTTCGCCTTAATCCGAAAGCCGTTACATTTTAAGGGGTCTGTTCAACCGTATTCTTTCGGTTTTGCGTTGACGTGCCGAAAAGCGAGGTTGGTTTCGAGGGGGGCGACTCTATCTACGATGCAGGGAAGATTGTGTTTTGCTGTGGCTCGCTGCGCGCACGCTGAGTAAAGGGTGATACGGTCAAAATTTGGTCAAGGGAAAACGCGTGTAAATCGGTGAAATCGGGTCGGAGGGTTCTTGTCCTTGGGAACCACCTGCACGTTGTTGGCGGCGTACCACTCCATGGCCTTTTTACCGTAATGGCAAGATGCCAAATCCGGCCAAAACAGTACGGAACAACCATAGAGGTAACTCTAAGACCACTGGGTCCCGAAGAAAATCATTATTATTTTTGGCTCACTCAGTACCAGAACAACGGTCCCAAGCAGTCCCAAGCTATTTCACTCACCCCTGCATGTTCTGCATGAATCCACACACCCCTGATGTTATCTATCAAACTTTCATAGCGAATCAAAACAAACATAGTGTAGTAATAGAATTTCAACTAGAATAGGGTACGTTAATCGTTTGCTTGGGACCAATAGGCTACTAAAGTGGTGAGCCAATTTAAAATCGTTAGTTTCGTATTGATTGTTGGAACAACCGTGTTTCTTCAGGAAAGGCAGCAGACGTTTATTCAAACACTCTTTCACGTAAATTTCTTGGTTGACAGTCCCGGAAGCTATGAAAATGCTGCTTTTCAAGCCACAGGTACAGATGGCTTGCCAAACCAGATATTTCTTTGCGAACTTTGACAGTTTCATGTGCTTGAAAACATCTGCTACCTTTCCCCTTCCTTTTGCCGTATAAAACTCCTGTCCCGGAGGCTGCTTGTAGTCGGCTTTGACGTAGGTTTCGTCGTCCATTACCACGCAGTCAAACTTCGTCAGCATCGTCGTGTACAGCCTCCGGGATCGCGCTTTGGCCGTCGTATTTTGTTTATGTTTTATTTGGAGTCACTACCTTCTTGTAAGTCGATAGTCCGGCTCGTTTTTTGGCTCGATGCACGGTTGTAGACGATACACCCAGCTTATTTGCGGCATCTCGGAGAGAGAGGTTAGGGTTTCGCTTGAAACTACCGGCAACTCTCTTTGTCGTCTCAGCGGCTTCCGGTTTTCGATTTCCCCCCGATCCAGACTTCCTGGCTGTCGACAAACGTTCCCCAAACACTTTAATTACATTTGTAACGGTTGATTTGGCAACTTTTAGCGATTTTGCCAACTTTGCGTGCGAGTAGCTCGGATTTTCGCGATGCGCGAGCAAAATTTTGATACGCTGCTCTTCTTGCTTGGACGGCATTTTGACAACTGAAGAGTGAATTCCAAAATCAAAATAGGAGCAACATTCTACACACACACACCTTCAAAATGAGGGGTGTTCAGGTTTTTTAAATGCAAAATTGAAAGAAATACGTCAAGTTGATATTGACCAAATTTTGACCGTATCACCCTTTAAGTAGAATAAAGATTGATGACGATTCTGAAGATTTCCTACAAAAAGATGATGCACGATGCAAGAAGATGCGAGAAATGAGTGAAGATTTTTCGAAGATTGATTCGCTAGTGTTAGACTATTTGAGCACCTAGAATTGAGATTTAGATGTGTCGCCCCCCTCGGTTGGTTTTTGGTGTGCACCTCGATCAGAACACTCATCTTCATCTTCCTTCGGTTTTTCGTCAGTTTCAGTAGTCTCCGCGTCAAGATGTAAGTCTTCCGAAATTCATCCAACTTCATTCCCGACTAAATCAGTATACAAGGCGGATTTCGTACTATCCTTTCACTACACCGAAAATTCCCATAAGAAACAGTCAATATAAGCTAGAAGAGACGATTTTTCGGCGGTGCCGTCAATGCAAATGTGGTGCCGGGTTCAAACCCAACGCGTGCTTTCGTTCCTGCTCTTTCAACCACGTACGCCATCGAATTTGAATTTCTGACGGTGAAGCCAGGCATTTGAGATGCAGTTGTGAGGCCACGAAGCATGAATTTTATACCTCCGGAAACAGTAACTGTTTGCTGCAGTACGATTAAACGTTTTATCTGAACATTCAAAGCTCCAAATACATAGGGTAAGGTGGGGCTAGATGGGTCAGCAAGTACATTTATTAATTTATTGGTTTGTTAATATCAACATGATCCATGCAACCCCAATGATGGATTGCTTTTTCAGCCTTAAGCAAAAATCAAAAATATAAATAACTCAAGTAGATTTCTCAGCTTGCCTCACCTGGAAAAGGTAACACTAGCCCTAGGAGCTTCATCAAAGGTGACACACAAGGAAGAAGTGTTAGTTTGTTTACAAAAATCACGGATAACAGACATCCAAGTCAAATTCCTAAGTGTGTAAGAAATTTAACTGCTATTTTGAATAGACATTTGATACTAGCAATATCGTGGTGGCGCTAGTGTCGATGCCCATCGACGTCGGTGACCGGCAGACGTCATCTTAACATAAATGTCAAAATTGTTGTGAGCCTGTTTGTGCGAGTTTCATTGGAGCGCAAATAAACAAGGAGTTACGATACAGGTAACTCTAAGACTAGTAGGTCCCGAAAAAACGTGCTCAACTTTTTGGTTCAGCTCTGGTAATTTCTCCGGTCCCTAGCTAATCGATGAACCCCTCGGAAAATAGGAAAATCCACGAACCCCTCATGTTATCTGTCAAACTTTCATAGCGTATCAAAACAAACATAGTGTAGTACTAGAATTTTGACTAGAATGGGGTACGTAATCGATTTGCTTGGGACCAATAGGCTAGTCAAGTAGTGTGCCAATTTAAAATCGTTAGTTTCGTATTGATTGTTGGTAGTACCATAGAGGTAACTCTAAGACCACTGGGTCCCGAAGAAAATCATTATTATTTTTGGCTCACTCAGTACCAGAACAACGGTCCCAAGCAGTCCCAAGCTATTTCACTCACCCCTGCATGATCTGCATGAATCCACACACACCTGATGTTATCTGTCAAACTTTCATAGCGAATCAAAACAAACATAGTGTAGTAATAGAATTTCAACTAGAATAGGGTACGTTAATCGTTTGCTTGGGACCAATAGGCTACTAAAGTGGTGAGCCAATTTAAAATCGTTAGTTTCGTATTGATTGTTGGTAGTACTATAATTTCGACTAGAATGGGGTGCGTTAATAGATTTGCTTGGAACCAATAGGCTAGTCAAGTAGTGAGCCAATTTAAAATCGTTAGTTTCCACCGGTTGGAATTACCAAGCGAAAATCTTTTCACAATTTTCCCAAGGATGCTTCCTGAACCCGAACTACAGAAGATTTTCTTCTCACGTTGAGTGCAACGAAACATTTATTGTCCGATCACGGACACTGGAGATGGTGTGGCAATCCTCGGCTCGGAGGATTCCAGCTGATTTGGCCAATTCCCCCTGTGGGAATGCCAACAGGAACACAACGAAAAGCTCGACTGAAATTCAATTCAACTCATAGCCCTGAAAAGGACTGTTTTGGCTTCGGCTTGTCCAAGGAGGAAAAACGAGAATTAAAACTTTCAACGGCGCTATATTTCGGTGTTTGCTTTACAAAGCTTGTGGACTGTATGATCGCGACGCGCAAAATGCGTCGCTTTAAATGTGTTTGGCTTTCTTCTTCTTGATATTGCATTCATTCATTTCTCCTTCATTCAGAACCAATCAGC